TTTTTTTTTTTTTGATTTTTTTGTCACTGGTGGCATAGATACGTATCATTTGTCCGCATGCTAATGAGAAGAACATGTTCTAAATTTCAAGTTGATATATTTCAACGTCGGAAATGGCTACATTTCTCCCATTTGCAACATTATATTTCATTGCTTCTTGTCAGTTTTGTGATTACAATGAACTTTCTTATCTAAAGTCAAAGGCCTCTAAAATGAAACAACAACAACAACAATAACAGTGCACGTTATCGAAGCGCCGCTTTTACTTTTTATTATTTTGTAAGAACTCAGTCTTGTAGAGGAAGTGCACCCGAGAGAAGTAAGTCAATTCAGTCAAATTTTCCCACCATAATATGCCACGCTGGGGTCTATTTTGTTGAGGCTCTCAATTGGAGGTCACCATGTTAAAAAATAGCGTTTTGACAGTTAACGGTTATAATTTCGGTTTTTTGACGGCCCATGGTATTTTTGACTTCTTATTTGACGGTTAACCCCGTCGAAACCCTGTTTGTTTTTATTGCTAGCCGGTTATGTTTCGAGCTCAGTATTGTTACAGCTAATGTGTGTCATTTTTCCGAATTTACGACCCACTATTTTGTTATTAGTTTTTGTCAAAAAAGACAGAAATTCAATTCGTCCACTGGATTTCGCATACGGTTCAAACTACATTTGCTATACTTTCAGATCGGTGAAGTAGGTAAAAGAGAACGCTTTCTGATAAGTTCATTTTCAATTTTCATATATAAACAAAACGTTGCTCTTTTCAATGTTTGTTGACGCAATGTATGCCCGCTTGATTCTTCTTGTCAAATTGGAACATGTTTTAACGATAAGGCCATATTGAACTTAACAGCTTTTCTGCAGCTTTACCTTCTTCTCTTAGGTTTGGATTCAGGTAAACCTCAGAAATAAAGCGTAGAATATTGATTTTATAATGAACTTACGTAATCTGTAACTGCTATTTAAGATTAAGATCAAAACTCTTCATTTATATATAAAAGCAATGTCCCAGATTGCGATCGCGTTGTCGTTTAAACAACAACAACAACAAAACAAAACAAAACATAAAACAACAACGACAACGACAACAAAAAAGAAACGTTTAGCCATGGTAGTAAAAACTAATTAAGATTAAGTCCAAAATAAATTGAGGCCATCCAATGGCTGTGGGAAATGTTCGTGCGCAATCAACTGTTCAGCTCATTTTGGTTTGTTGTCATTAGATGGCTCTTTCAATCGATCTACGAGTAGCATCACGTTCTCTCAAAAGTGTACTTAAGCTGGTTTAGTTGTTCAGACTTCTGCGCACTATTTGAAGAAATTAATAGCGTTGAAAGCCCTTAATGATACGATGGTGACCGCTTTTTACCTTGCAAAACGGTGACTGTTAATACTTGTTCCTTAAATTCAAAATTAAACTTTTACAAAAGCATGCTGGGCGTCAAGCGGTGTCATGCATTCATAACAAAACCAAATATTTTTGAGCTCTTTCGTTAAGATATTATTCTTTCTTTCAGATAATACCAAACAAGCGTCGTTAATTGATTTTAGGTCATACTTGTCAAAATATAACCGCCTCATTTAATCACTGGAAAGTAGACATATTTCATATCGCACAATGAAGCTTCAGCACATATTGACTTTAGATGACTCGTACGTCTTTCATTCGAAGAAAATTGGTTGCAGTTGAAATCCAAATACAAAATTGTCTTACAGGAAAAAGAATTATATACATGTGTTTAATACTTGGTTTTACATTGCTTATGATGAAATACAGCTACCAGAGGAAATAAAGAGAAAAAGAAGATTTAAGTGAACGAAACTGCTCAGGTTTCGTGTCTTTCATAGAGTCTTGACTTCTTGACGGACTGATCAGTCAATCTCCGAGTACTTCTAATTACTTTATCTGTCAATCATTATCGTAAAAAAACAAACAATCCATGTCATAACAAAACCTGTTTTTTAAAGCGACGCCGTTGTTTGAAGCGGCATCATAAGAAGTGAACTCGGGCAGCCTTTAGAGGATTAGAAACAAGCATGTCCCTGTCAACAATTTTGCAGCTGATTTTGGGTGCTTATATCTCTTTGAACCACTTTGGAGGTTAGTACAAATCTTTTTCCATCTTCCTTTTATGTTTTTTCCTGCCGCTGAAGTATTTTTCTATCATGTTTTCGCATCTCGGTAGATGAAGTCGAATGAAGGCAGAAGTCATTTATTGATGATCCGATTAACTGTAACTGACAAAGGCACCGATTATCTTTATTTCTTTTCTGGTAACACAGTGATATAATTTATTACGGGATTTCTCAAATTGTATTTCAATTGAAAAGAACTGTTCTTTCTAAAAAAAAAAAAAAAGAACAACCACTTTATCGCCGATTATATGCTGGTGTCCCATTTAATAACAGAGAATGTTTTGATATATTCGATTTAATGCGAAGAGTACAGAACTAAGAACCAGGGAAATTAAATTGTAGTATACGTTTCCCGAAAGTGATGAAAACGTATCATAACGTCTCGTTTCACGTTAAATCGTAAGAGTCACTGAGGATGAACATCAAGGTTACATACATTACAGCTGACCCCTGTTAGTGAAGTTAATTAACGTAATATATTCCGTAACGGTATTTAGTCTATGCTGTTATAATTACCTTACTTCAAACCAAAGGTTTCAAATATAAAGTACGTTTCAGTAGAAACGTCTGCCTATTAAGCACAAATATTACTGAGAAGATGCCTATCGAATTACTTGATGTTACCTCCATTATACTGGGAAAACAATGCAGTTGAAAACCTAAACGGTACATATATAAGAGAGAAGCAATTTCGGTTGAATTTTTTTATCCAACTTTTCGTAATTTATTTTCTGATAAGAACATTTCTTTTCCTGTGATAAGCTTGACATACTGTAGTTTTTGCAAGGAGTAAAGGGGCAAGCGGTATTTAAACCATACCGACTGGTTCTTGCATTTGTTATGACGGTTGTTCACAAGCTAAGAAGGAGCCAACGCAAGCAAACAATCTCCAAAAAATAAACAAAAAAAATCAGCATCTTCCTGGATATAGTCCTCAAGCGCAACATCGTATACAGCGAGAGCGTTTGTTAAGCCTCTTGTTGGGTGTTTCTTTCTTTTTTCTTTTTTTTTTTTTTTCCTTGTTCTTGTTGTTCTTGTTATCTTTTAAAAGCATTATGTAGAAACTTGAATCATATGTACTACTAGCTGTCATAAATCACTCCGGGAGTTGAGAACTGTTGAGATGTATCATCACCTATACGTGTAGCTGACGATCATGTTTTCTAAATTTCTCTAGAATATTATGTATATTATGTAAGTATTGTGCGTGGTTCGGGTTTACGTATTAATTACTTCATTGACAATTATGTAACTTTGATCATTATTTTATTTTCGTTTAGTGTCTGTAGGCACGTGTATAGATGAAGGATTTTGCAACGAGAAGGATGATGGAAACTACAGCAATCCAGATACATGTTTTGGATACATTGCGTGTTCTGGAGGCATTGCTCATGAAATACCTTGCGCAGAAGGACTGATGTTTAACGACGATAAAATAGTGTGTGACTATCCAGAAAACACAAAGTGTGAGATCCTGGGAGGAGTAAGAGGTACCACATTGCATACTAAATGATATTTCCTAAAGTGATCTTGAACAACAACGACAACAGCAAAAGGATGTTCATCCCTTTTTATTGTCGTTGTTTTTGTTCAACTGATTCATCAAGATTTTAGGTGGATGACTAGGGTCAAATATTTATTGGTGCTAGCAAATAGCCAGTTTGCCAGAATTAATGAGAGACCGTAATGTCCTTAAATTAACCAACAAAAAAATTTTAGTTTCAAGCATACGTGGTTTCTTCGCAATTTTTAAGATATTATTAATCCTACGATGATGAAACTGTTAGTAGCTGTCTCGCTAAAATACCCTTTTAAATTAGAATATCAGAAATTGGCGTAATCTACTTACTCGTGAAAATCGTGAAATCCAAGATGACGGATGTTATCACTTCATGGGACGCCATTTTATATCATAATAAACAAGTCACCTCATCTCCTAGAGAAAGTTAAGGGCAATCTACCTTATGATAAGTGAATAAGTGATTTACATGTACGTCTCAAGTTTGTCACTTACAAGGCCTTTACTACATAACAAATCGCTTCAATTCAAACATTTCCATTTCGCACAGACTCGCCATCTTTTGGAAATCTGCCTTGTGGTGCACGTCACATGTCCCGGATCGTCGGAGGTGAAGCAGCCATTCCACACTCGTGGCCGTGGCAGGCAGAGCTTCAAATAAAAAAGGAAGCTTCTGGAGCGTTTCATTTCAAATGTGGTGGAACATTGATTACACCTCAGTATGTAGTAACAGCCGCCCACTGCGTTTTCGGTATGCCTTTTCCGCAGTCATACAAGATCCGACTCGGTGAGAGTATATTTCAGTTTATTACTTACCTTGGTTTGTTTAGATGTTCTTTTAGCTCTTTTTACACAATAGGTTATGAATAGAAGAGGAGCAGCTCAAACTGTTTGAGCCTTTTTTTTTTTTTGCCATTCCAGTAAAGTACAAGTAACAAACAAAATATCAGAGCACTAAACAGAACCTGAAATTACATGCAGGTTATGAAAGGCTAAGAAAGTAGTGAAGGATTGATTTGTTTATTTCGTTTTTATGTGAGCTTAAATGACATCTGAACATCTTAGAACCTGAACGTCTCGCGCTCGCATTTAAAACACTTTGAAGTCTCGGTCCCGCAATTGAATAAGTCATAAATATCGCGGGCTTGCAAAGAAAAACGCTAGTCTCGCCTTCTCGCAAAGTCTCGCATTTACCATTCACCACCCCTTAATTACTATACTGAACAGAACGGCGATTACAAATTAATCTTACCGAGATAATAAAATACAACAGAAAAAAAAAAAGAAAAAAAGCACAGTACAAAACAACAAAAGGAAAAGGGAAGGTGTTTTTTAAAATATACCAACGCTTCCGATACACTACATGCATATCGCAGTTCAAATGGCAACCAGCTCATTCCACAACTTTTTTTTTTTTTTACCGCTCTAGGAGTCCACGACCGCTCAGTATCTGACCAAGTACAGACCATCAGTGTCTCTGAGATCCACATCAACAGAAGAGCTATGACAGATGGATATGGCAACGACATCGCTTTAATAAAGCTCTCCCGACCGGCTATGCTTAATGCAAGAGTTGGTTTGGCTTGTATGCCAAGTGGAAAAAAGACGGATCGAGTGACCCCTGGAACAATGTGTTATATAACAGGTAAATAAGAACGAAGTGGGAAGAGTTATTGACTAGGGCGACTGTATACGAAAGATGCCTTACTTTTGGGCTCACCGCTCCCCCTCCCTCAGTTCTGGAGTAAGAATGAACACAGCGAGTAGTTCATGTAGATAAATCTGATTAAAAGTAAACGGTGGTCTGCTATCATTTAGCATTTCTTCGAGAGGGGTACGCCGGGAGGGAGTCGCTTCTTTAACATGTATAATAATTTTAATGCCTAGATCGAGGTTTCATGGTTTTACCATTGTTTATAACCGGTTGCAAGGGAGAATCAAAGATACCTTTACTATCATACAAAACTAATTCAAAACTTATTAATCCGAGGTTGGGGCAGTTCTTCTTTCGGGGGACAAAAGTCCCAAATTCTTAATCAAGCTAAGATGCCCATCGTTGACTACAAGACTTGCGCACAAGCTAACAAAGCTCTCGGAGAAGTGGTGGATACGATGATGGTATGCGCAGGTTATGGTGGAGACAGTAAACTTAGCGGTTGTCATGGAGACAGTGGTGGGCCTCTTGTTTGCCAGGACGAGACAGGACGCTGGACTCTACGTGGTACAGTCAGCTGGGGAGACCATTACTGCAACGGAGGGCCGACTTACTCTGTCTTCGTACGGATCAACAGCTACATTGATTGGATAAAATGCAAGATGACGTCACAACCGTTACAGCCACGTAAGTCTATAAAACCAACCGGCGACTCTTCGTATCGGCCCATTGCAATACATGTATACGCCTAAGTGTTTCAAGGCATCCCACTTCAAACCATAATATAGGAATTCTTAAAAGCAAAAACCCGTTCTGTGGAATTGATAATTTCAAGAATCTATTTACCACAACGCCCTTTGGTTAGGGCTATGGCTTATAAGCCTACATGATTATGTTATACATGAGAGAGGCATTAAGTAATGACCCGAAATTTCTAATTTAATATTTCCAAATGAGAGCCAGATATTTTGCCTCGCAGTTTCTGTACGAACTACGTCGCTTGTGTCAATTTAATTAAGGGCGGTTTCCATATTGTCACCGTTACGGATACTTTGATCGCTCCAGAAAATAAATAAATAAATAATAAATACATCAAATTAGCAATCGACGAATTTTTATGACGACAGTTTCCATATGCTCGCCACGATTGCAACTGAATGAAAAAGTGCCCTAGAAAACCTGGGGAAAAGAACGACGCGCTGCTTCTGATATGTTTTACATCAAAACGATCACAACAATCCCTGAAGGATATTTTCCATATAATTGGAACAATCCTCGAGATGGAACTGAGGTCTTTCTAAGCGATCAGTGTCATTTATTATGCCGACGATCATTGCCGCCATTTTGTAGCAATCGTGGTAATAGCAACGATAGCATCGAGCATTAGAAACCAGGCTAAACTCAGTTAAGTGGGTCAAGACGAATGCTGTAATAAATTACACCTACTCATTAAATTAATATCTTACTTTACCTTTGATTCTTAAGCCCAGGGATGTGTCGACACTCATGATTTTTGCGGTACCTGGAATGGTTACAATCTGTGTGAAAACCCCTACTTCCGCAACATGCTGAAAACGTTCTATTGCAAAAAGACCTGCAATGCTTGCTAAAGTAAGTGTAGGATGGTATATTTATCTTAGATATTTGCTGTCAATCTGTTGTCTTGATTTGTGTGATTTTAGTTTGACTTAAATTGGTTAGTACAACTTTTACTTCGAGCGAAACTAAGGGCCAAGGCTTCTTGTCCTGTACTTACAGCAATTAACTTCCACTCAAGTTTGGGGTATGCGGTTCCTTAATATTTAGTGCTTAATTAGGTCCCCGGATGAAGCCATGCGAGTTTGAGCGCTGACTGGTCAGTGCCTCTCTCCACCTGGGAGCTCAAACGGGTAAATATATGGAGCAAACCTTGGTGGAAAGCCGGCATTCCCCAGCAAAACTGTTAGTTCATTCGTACAGAAACCGGATTAAAACCGAGAGTTCGGGCTGGTTTGGGTCGAGGCGTCTTTATCCTTGGTTCGAGCGCGAGTTCCCAATATGCTTACAATGTTTTATTTTTCTTACTACCATAGAAAGGAAGGAGCTGTCTCTTTTCAGAAACTTGCTGTTTGTATTTCCTCTGTAAATGAAGAAAGGAAACATGCAAAAACTTTGTTTCTGCCATGTTTCCGGTTTGTCTATTTGTTTGTGCATTTTAACTGAGCTGTGAAATAATATGTCAATAAAATAATGAGCAGGGAAAATCAATGGGTCTACCTATATTTACTGGCCCGCCTCTATTCACTTAAATCCTAACCTGCGATCCATGTAACGTTATCGAATTCATTGCTTTAATTAAATAAATCTGTCGAATTCAACCTAACAGACAGAATGGTATAAATAACTCATCCAAAGTTTGATGACATTAGAATTTGGCAAAGAAAGGCTTTTGATGGCTCAGTGTGTACTGACGACGAATCTGTCATTTGTGCCCCACTCTCACTTTCGAAATGACGAGTTAACAACGCGTACTCACGTTATCTACAATGTGGTTGCTCTCTGTAAATTTGAAGAGCAGATCCGACCAGCTATCTAAGAAACACGTCTAGGTGCACTTTTTACTTCCAGTTTTTTAATAGAAATTATTCTTTAATTTTGTAGAAGTACTTTTGTTTATGATATTTCACTCGCGAAATCTTTATGAACGACAAGTTGCCTCCGAGTTAGACTACTGGCAACCGGTTTTTTTTTTTCTGTTATTAAATTTATACGGTCTCTAATTGGCGAGTGTTTATACATTGGCGATCGCCAATGCAAAATCTCAACCCAATCCCTTTTAGACTAAAGCGTCTCGACTTATGATCCCTGCTAAATTTCCAAAAAGGAAAACACACTGCCAGCATTCTTCATGCGAGTTGGTAAGACGGGCGACAGCAGAAAATCGTTCCTGAAGTTCGAATGAATCGTAGATACCCACCAGAGAAAATAAAAAAATACATCGAAACGACAAATGGAAATGCCCTATATGAAAATGGAAATACCCTAAGTGGAAGTGCCCTAAATGAAAAGATTTTGTCCCAGAACGTTTGCCACAGACCATTTCTCAATGTGCAATAAAACACCTTGTGTCAATGTTCCCATGTTTTCAAAATTTCTATATCAGTAACGCTTAGCATTTTTTTCTTTATCTATTGTAGTCCTCAATGTGCTGTAATGGTCTTTTTAGCTGGTATCTACTTTACTCTATGACTTATTTTACTGAACGTGTTTTTTAAGAATAAAAAATAAATAAATAATAACAATAATAACAATAATGACCAAGTGTTCAGTTTGGACAACGAGTGTGCAAATTTGTGAGGCACATGTTCCTTTCTGTAGTGAGGTGCTTCATTGCTTCAATATCTTTACATATACAGACAGTTTCAAGGTGACTCGCCCGTATAATCGCACCGCGCGTCCATTGCCGCTCTCCCCCTACCCCTACCTCCCCTTCCCCCCCCCCCTCCACCCCCGCTATCTCCCGGCCAAGGCTGTGTTACGTTATTGTCACGTGCGACATGGCTCGGTACTTTCGCTCTGTGTTTTGCTAAAACTGCCGTGGTTTCCCGTCGGGAAAAACTCACTAAGGTAAGGAATAACTCCTAAGCATTAAGTGCATTTGATTGTTGCTTCTTTGTTGACACCGCCGTTTTCTAAAAGCTAATAGGGAGTTTAAGCAAATCGCTACGGCTGGCTCTGATACGGCTGCCGGAAGTAAATTT